CCTGTAAATGTTGGACCTTTTACATGTCTCTCATAATCAAACCATGCAAACAGAATTCTGTGAATACGTCCTTATGATGACGGGTCTCAATCTACGACCACACATTGTTGCACTTCTAACAAAACCACGACACCTGTGTGATATATAAAGAGCTAGAAGCCACAAACCTCCACCGAGGTGACAATGTCCAATCTCTCCCCAAAAAATGTGAGGATCCACATGTTTATCCAGAGCCAGTCCAAACACACAGGTTCTTCTTTGGGTGATGCTCCACCCCTCCACTCATGGAAATCTGTGCAGTAGTTTTAGAGTTAGACAAACAAACCGATGGTAATGAAAACATCACCTCCTTGGCAAAGATGATTAATGACATCATTAGAAAATATGGACTTGATGCACTGTATATTGTTACAAAATATAAAAATATGCTTTCATTTAAACTGTAATGCATTTGATACGTTAAGAATGAACAAAAAAAAGTTAGTCTTTAGTTCTTTATCATATTGAAGGCTTCAGTTTGTATAGAGAAGAGTTGAGCATGGAGTGAACACAGTCCTGAGCCTGTCGTCGTTTCACCGGGCCTTCTCTTCACAGTCCTCACCTCAGACGTGTGAAGTCATTCAGGGTCATGTAATCTTGCTGCACAGTCAAAGCATGCAGTCTGTTTTGATTCCTAACTTTAAGTAACCTGTACAAAGGAGAATATCAGCTATAATAGATTCTATAGATTCAATAGTATGAGTAGAATAAATTAATTCAGTGTCACACACAGCACAGCTCCTGGTGCCTCCTCCCCCCTCCCTGTGAAACCTCTGCCGTCTTGCGCAGGTTTAGAAATGATGAGAGATGGAGTGAGGCCTGCCACATGGCCTCTGTGTCCTCCCTCCCCTCCTCACCCCAGCTCCTCACCACATCAGGATACACTTGTTCTTGGTGAATTCCGGTTTCAAACGGAACGCTGCCTCTGCTCTGCTTTTCTGCACGACCAGTATTAAGAGCAGGCACATGCTGTCTCTCAGTGGCCCTGCGGTCAGGGAGGGCGAGCCTCCAACAGCCCGTTACACTCGCACACCTCTACAAACCATCACCCGCTCCTGCTTCCTCCCCTGGGCCTTCCTCACCCCTGACAGTCCCCCAGTGCACGACCTTATCACCATGAGAGCAGATTAATGAGTGAAAGGTTCTGTCCACTGCAAACCGCTGAGTTCATCACGTCCTCTCACCTTTTTTCACGTTGTCACATCACCAAATCATTTTCTTCTGGTTGCACACCGCTGTTGAGCCTCAAATTCAGTATCCTAAAATCCCACTTTAAAACTTTATTTTAATATTACAAACACATTCTTTAAATTTCTCAAACTGTTCTCACTGGAGACTGTTTCTACTCTTTGACCTCTAACCTCAACCGTTATGCCCCTAGCGTTGAAAGAGAGACACTGCAACCCATTGTCCATTTTTTTGTTTTCGGTTTATTGATTTAACATGGTTAAAAGTTATTGAACTCACCATGTTTTCAGTGGGATACGGTTTGGAAGAAAGTGCACATAAGTGAGACATCACACCACCAACAGAAACACATTGTACTGAAACATAGAGGCTTTAATACACAGACATATGACATCATCAACACAGCAGGTTTAAACTCTGGGTTTGACCCAGTTATTGTCTCAGACTGTTTACTTTCACATAGAACACAATAACTATTGTTCTGTCATTTCTATCCTTTTTTTTACTAGACTTTGTGTTCCACCCTCATCGTGTTTAAAACCGAGTCAAAGTTTCTCCTGGGGAAGGAAGAGCCAGCAAGAAAAAGGGGAAATCTTTTCCCAGTTTCCTCTTTGCTAAACAACATTGCCCCCTGCTGTTAATCAGATAAATCTCTTGGCCACCGTTTCATTTGTTGTGAGAAGCTTTGAGCAGCAAACTTGTGCAGCTACATTAAATCCTGCCCTGTATGAAACTCTTCTTTCTTTCATTTTCATTTGTTTTACACAGGTTCAGTTTGTATCTCAGCTAAATCTGGAGCTTGCACTCAGTAAAGTGACACAGTAGAGTCTTAATCTGCATCATACTGTCCCTATTTACCCAGAGTGAGACTGATTAATTGATCAGTTAGCTCATCATAACTGAAAATAGATAGATAGATAATGCCTGAGTAGATTATTTGAAAGATTCATTTCAGTTACCATTTGGAGATCTGTTCATTCATACACATAACGACAGATAATCTTCAAACTTGGTGGATTGATGCAGTACGGCTCAGGCAAGAATCCATTACATTTTGGGGCAGATCTGGATCAGTTCATCATTGTGAGATAAGGTGTTTTTCAACATGTTCCTTGATTTCTCAGAGAATGTATCTTGATGACAAAAAAAATCTGACATACGTAGGGGCTGATATTTATGAGTGTGTGGATTTTGTTGCAGATCCAAATAAAAACCTGGATCTAGTTAATTTACTTGTGGTTTCATAAGGGGCCTTGTTGGAGGTATAAATTCATTGGGTGCTATTCTAGTTGTTTATGTGATTATCATAACCATTCGAACCAGAAAATACATATTTCATGTGTCTCTGAGGGTGCAGTGGTTGCTGTGTGTATGCGGATCAACACAGTGTTATAACATAAATATATGTAGGCTTATGTTTTCAATCTTGTGGCACGCAGAAATAAATGACAGGGGGCACAGAGGAACTTCCCTCAGAGGAGCCCTCACTGTGCTTCTCGGAGGGATGTGCACAGCTAACCGCTGGCCAGGCTGGTGCTTCCGGCCCTGGGGCAGCAGCCGCTGCCGGTAGCCCTCACACCCTGCAGCAGCACCACTATCACCCCACTCCAGACACTGTGCCAGGATACTGTGGTGACACAACCCTGAGCCTGTTCCTCGCTTGTCAACATGACTGATGAAAGCAGTGAGGAGGAGGAGGAGGAGGAGGAGGAGAGGAGAAGAGGACACGACGAGTAATTTATATTTAAAGAATTTAAAAAATGTTCTGGCAGATAATGTGATAATGAGGGCATGAATGACAGAGAATGAATTAACGAATTAGTGAAAATAAAAAGAGCAGGAGAGCAGAGTTAACAGTGATTTATTTTTATATATCAGTGATAACATGAGGTGAAAATCTTGTTTTAGGAATTTGAAAGTTTCATTATACCACTCACTTCAGTATCTCTCAAAGACAATACCTTTATATGGGCCAACAGGACCTTTGCCAGAATCTAAATTAAAGTTATCTTTAGGTTTATGTCAGCTGGAGAAAACTGGTAAAGGAAAATACAAGACACATGGACATGAAGCTTCATATTCAGCCTTTCCAGTACAACCAGTAGCCACCAGGGGGCAGGATATGGTGCCTTTCACCTTTTAACCTTGTGTTGTTTTACCCTGTTTTGCAACAAAACACACACAAGGACACACATTCAAAATCAAAAGGGAAAGCTGATATGTATAATAGCATATATGGATGACTGATCTTGATTACTTTTGGTTAACTGTGTGTGTGTGTGTGTGTGTGTGTGAGAACAGGGAAAAGGGTTACATAACAACAATTAAGGCGGCATGATCAAACAGCCATTTTATTCTGAAATTGTTTTAATGAAGTCAAGCACATCATGCACTTCTATGTGCTGAGAGAAGCCCTTCAGTATCCTGTGTGATTGTGTGAGTGTGTGTGTGTGTGTGTGAGTGTGTGTGTGTGTGTGTGTCTGTGTGTGTGTGTGTGTGTGTGTGTGTGTGTGTGTGCACATGAATACAGGCATGTCATAGTGTGTGTATTAGTGGTGTATGTGAAATACCGTAGCTGCTCGAGAGTCTGTTCACTGTGTGTGTGTCTCTGTTTAGGCCCTCAGCCTCCACTGGTTAATATTAGAAACACTGCTTGTTGGAGCGACTGACAACTTATTATGTACACTGCTAAAATAGGTGCAGCAATTTGCACACACACATGCACATACATGCACACACAAGTCAACCTCAGTGCTCACACACCAACTCTAAACTCCCAGAAAAGCCTTTGTGAAGCGCAGCAAGAGGGAGCTGCTCGCCTGACGCCGATGTGAAAAAGCAGGGGAGGCTGTGTGTGTGTGTGTGTGTGTGTGTGTGTGTGTGTGTGTGTGTGTGTGTGTGTGTGTGACTTGATAGTAGTGGGCGAAGGGTGGGTATTTGGAGTAAATGACAATGGGATGAACCTTGCAGGGGTCACCAGCAGTGTCTCAGCATCAGTGTGTCTCAGCATCAGTGTCTCAGCTCCTGGGAAAGTGGTGGGATGAGAAAAGTGGTTTCTCCAAAACTGGGCTTCTCTCTGTTGACTGTCAAACCATGAGTTCTGGGTTTGGTTCTGGAGGTCACAGCCCGTCTGTTGCATGAATGACACAGTGATGGAGTTTGAATTTGTCAGTCTCCCTCTACTGCATCACAATGACCTCTTGACTTCAGGAAGTAAATACAACTAAATTACATTGACTTGGCTGGTGGTGGCATATACACATTCCATAAATCCATGCATTTACATAAATATGTTTTATGTTTACTCTTTATTGTGCTCTATGTGCATGTGCAGCGTTGCAATAAATTCATCCTCTATATGTAAACAACATTTGTATCTATACACTGAGCATCCTAGTGATTGAGTCAGTTACCACAGACAGTTATTTTTTAATGTGCGTAAAATGTAGAACAAAAACACAAACAGCTACAGTTATTTCAATATCTCTTTCTTTGTTTCTGTGCCAAGGTTTAATCGTAGACCCATTTTAAAAGATGGAAGACACGTCTCCACTTCCTCCCGCTATCCTGAAATGAAGCCAAAATATCCCAGATTCAAATGCCGCCATCTTGCACATGTGGAGCAGTAGCGACCAGGGAATGGAGATGGAGGTCTCACCAATCCATGCGTTTGACCAAACATGAGTACGTCTCAGCTGTCAATCATAAAGTTACACCCCTTTTTATATCATTAAATAACTTTAGCCCTTTAACAAACATCAGTGTGATAAGAACTACCTAAAGTGACAGAAACCATCTTTGAGAAGAATTTATTTGTCTTTTTAGTTTGGTCGATGTCTGTCGGGGTTTATAACCTGTACTGCAGCCAACCACCAGGTGGCGATTGAGACACTTTGGCTTCACTTTGGGGATGTCATAATGTCCTTTATGTACGGTCTATGGAGTAGCCCCATAATTAACAGTAGTATAATGTAATGTGGAGTTTAGCCTCAAACAGTCTGCTAGTGAATATGAAATATTATTTAAACAGTATCTTTAGTATATTTTTCTTGAATCTATTAGCTGCCGTCTGCATGTACTTCACAAGCTACACGGGAGCTGTTCTAAACACAGTGATAACTCTGTAACTCTATATCTCACATCTGTGACTGACATGATCATTACAGTCAGTTGTGCCACTTATTTTCAGTTGAGTCATATTAGATTTAGGACGTCCCCACAAAGTTCTTAGGTCTCGTTTTCATCTCCACCCTCTTGAAGGAATAGCGTTCTCCAGTCTGTCCGTCTGTCAGGATGTACCACGTCCCCCAGTAGATACCGTTGGTCACACCACTGTAGCGCCCAATGTAGTACCGTCCATTCAGGTTGGCCGCCAGGCAGGCATCGAACCACCAGCCTGTGCCGTAGTACTGACCACAGTTTCCTGCTGCGTAGCGGTCATGATCCCGGTCAGCAGTGCTGAAGGATCTGCCGTCGTGGTTGTAGCGTTTGCTGTAGCTCAAGGCGTTGCCTGCATCTCCAGAGTATTCACGAGCTGTCAGACGATACCTGGATGAAAATAAAAGTAACTCATGATACATCTGTCTTTTATGAGTGTACTGTGGAACCAAGACAGAGACACCTAACCTAAACAGGACTCTAGTAGTATAATATCACATCTAATTAGGTGTCAAGGTGTCAAAAAGTGCCAGTGTTTTGAGACTTGTGTTCATGTTTTCTGTAATTTTGGTTTTAATGTGTTTTTTGATGCATTAAAAATGGGGTGAAACATTGTGATTGACAGCTGAAACTGACTCATGATTGGCCTGTATTGGCAGGACCTTGTTACCATGGCCCCAGACCATCGTCACAACTGTGCACACTCTGGCTGCAAATGATGCTTAAAGTGCAAGATGGCAGCATAGTTTTACAGAGTTAGTCATGACGGTTCTTAAGTATTGTTTAGGGGTTGAATATAAGTGTGTGTCACCTCTGTGCCTCTGAGGCCACTTTGAAATTGTTGTAGGTAGCATGGCGTCTCTGTTGGTGCCAGTCCTCCAGCTCAATCCGGAGCTGGTGTTGGCCGACAGAGGTGAGGGCGGTCAGTGCTGCGTTCCCCAGCCAGTGGTCTCCCTGCGGACTCCCAAAGCCCTCCCGGTATTCCTGCCATGTCCTGTTGAAGTTCAGGGAACCGTCCTGCCGATTCTGGACAACCGTCCAACCACCGCCCGCCGTCTCCATGTCACATTTAGCCTGAGCCATAACAAAGACTTTGATATTATAAAGCCTAGATTTTGCTGATCCACAGACAGCTTAAACATCTCTAAAAGAAGCAGAGCGGTGTGTGTGTATGGGGGGGGGGGGGGTCTGTGTGTGTGTGTTTATGAGTGTATCTGAAATACCTCCAGTGCCGGCCTATGCAGGTCAGGCTGGATGGTGTAGATTCCACTGTCTTTGATGCCGAGCCTGTAAATCTCTGCACAGTCCTGAGGATGTAACCTCTCCAAAGGGGCGACTGAGAAACACACACAGGACATTTTCTATTCCAACTTATTTGTCCACATTAACTGCATCATGTGACCACTCCTCCAGCCCATACCTGTCAGTGGGTGTTGTGTGATGCTCTTCAGGAATAGCAGCAGGTCTTTCTCCCCCTCTCTCCCCACTGCTGCACTTTCTGTGAGCCCAGAGAGAGATCAGGTTTATCAGTGAGGCACATCACGCTGTCGTCAGGGTCAGAAAACAGATGCTTTGTCTTTATTTACTGTGCAGAGAGCTCCCTGTTTGTTTGATAACTCTTTAAAGCTTTTTTCACATCTCATTCCTCTCTGTGCAGTTAAATTCCTATGCACTCACCTATGACCGACACTTAGCAGGCCTCATTGAGGTTCTGTTTACTATGTGTGGGGGGAGTGAGCATGCTGGAGTTTGTGTGTGTGTGTGTGTGTGCAGAGGTGGGAAGTATAAATGTGTACTACTCACCTAGTCGTTTGGCCATTGCCCCAAGGGCCTGGCTGTGACAGTGGAGGTCACACTCTGTCAGCACAGCTGCCATTAGAGCCAGGATGGCTCCCAGAGAGTTGCTCTCCTGGCCCCCTTGACTCCAGGCCCCTCCCGTTTCCTGGAGAGAGTGCATGCAGCGCTGCAGCTGAACGAGACGCTCTTTGACACCTCCAGTCTGCAAAGGCAACGTCTGCAGGGTTAACTGCTGTCAATTCCTCCATATTCTTCAGTGAAATGTTATATATCTATAAATGTTGAGTGAAAAGAGTTGTGCATGGTTGTGCATCATTGACATGAGGCTTATAGCTGAGTGGCCTGTTCTGTGTCACCCCTAATCTGTCTCTTTACACTTACATCAGCCATTGTGATCGTGTCCCTCGTGCACCTGTTGCTGCATGAGCTCATCACAACCATATGATGAGGACATTTTTAAAGCGGACCTAATTTTATCCCTTCTGTGACTGTCATTGCTGACTGTCATTGCTCCATGGTTGTTAGGTGGTGCCAAGTTAAGTGTGCCGCCTGTCCCACAAGAGAGGACTTGCTGACCTGTGTCTGATAGTCCCCCGCTAAGTCGTTGTTGGCATACGTGAATGAACAGAGCTGCCTCATCTTGTCTATTTGTCCCATGTCACTCTTAAATGACTGAGAAACATCTGATTAAAAATGCATTATCTCACTTTTCTTATCACAAAAATTTTCTATAAATTGAAAAAATGCATAACCGGACCTCCTAACGTTTGATGCCACTTACCTTAGGCTGAACCTGGGGGGACTCATGCCTGTGCTCCACCCGCCGCGGAGCGTCTGAGATGGCTGGAAGTGAAATCCCCATCCGACAGGCCGCTGTCCCAGTCTGACCCTCACAGGCCCCACTGCCCGCTCCTGCCCCCATCCCGGGTGGCATGGGTGCAGCCACCAGACTGTCCCTGCAAGGAGGGTGTGTGCAGGCTGGGGATGCATCTAAAGACAGCAGGGTGCCCACATACAGTGACAGCATACCAAGAGAACCAAAAGGAATCATGGGAAAATGGAGGCTTTTCCTAAACTTTGTTTTAATCTCTGGAGCAGTGGTCCTGCCTCCCTCCTCCAGGCTGATTCGCAGCTTTTCTTTAAATCTCAGTAAGTGCCTCTTCAGGTGGAAAGTGTGCCCTCTTCTTTTTCTCCAGATATTTCTATTTCTATTGCTGTGTTCTATCTTCTTTTTTCATCCTCTTCTTCTTTCCTTTCTTCCTCACTGCTCGTCCTCTTTCTCCTGCTCCTCTCAGTTAGTGAGGTTGCTTTGGCTCAGATTCCTAGATAACTGCGGCACTCTTTGCTGTCTGACACAGACCAATGCACCCACCCCCTGATGCACACACACGCACACACACACACACACATTTGTACATCTATATTAGTGAGGACACTCATGGGCATAATGTATTCCATTGCCCCTTAGCATAACCTTAACCATCAAAACTAAATGCCTAATCCTAACCTGAACCAAATTCTAACCCTAAAACCAAGTCTTAACCCTCAAACAGCCCATTAATTAATTAGTGGGTCAGAAAGTGAGGACCAGCCAAAATGTCCTCACTCTGTAGGTTGTAGGATTCAATTGGTCCTCACAAAGATATCTGTACAAATACACACACACACCCAGGCAAACAATCTGTCCATCTCCTCAACTCATCTCCATCTTGCTCTTTTTGATTCCCATACAGTCACAAAGTTACACATACACACACACACACACACACACACACACCTCAAATTTGGACAGAATTGCTGCAATGTCTTGAACACAAAATGTGAAATTATGAATACCTTTCACAGATTAACACACTTTGCATTAATGTTTTATTCCTCTCCAGCAGCATGAACTCAGCCCGGACAGACAGAGAACACCTCATACCTTCAACCATTAAGGTGCATCAGTGACACTGTTTGCAGAGATGAAAATGCAGCAGATGCTTCAAATATGTGGCTCCTTCCTTCCTCCCTCTGTGCTATTATCACGTCCTTTTGTAATGCCAGTATTTGTGTTTACAAACTGAGTTCCAAAGAGGCCATAAAGACTTGACATTCAATAGGTGTGAGACACAAGGAATTCCTCCATAAACACAAGAGTCGCCCCAGTCATCAGGGCTCTGCACAGGCACACTCCCAATAACAAGGAGGACAAACACACATAGACACACATGTGGCCACAAAGAAGACGGAAATCGAGATGAGAATTCTGTTAGGTTCAGATAATGTCATAATAGGAAAGCCAATGGCAGCTCAGTTTTGTTCTTAAAGATTGAAGGGTTTAATGAAGGGATGGGAGCCAATTTTAATTGTTACTATTTTCACATATTGATACATGGCTGGAAGTGAAAGGTTTGAGCAGCCCTCCTTTTTGGGTCAGATTAATGTTTTAAATCTAGCCTTAACCTAACCACAACTTCCATTTTACCTCCAAACTTAATCAGGTTTTACCTCATTGGCACCGCACTGTGGTCCCCATGAGCTCTACTGGTCCTGACAAGGCCAGTGTTCGTGCTGGAAAAAGTCCTAAAGAGGCAACACAAATCAATAAATACAAACACAGTCACCTGTCTGTTGTATTTACTGTGTCTGTGTGTTTATTAATTGTCAAAGCCTCTTCTCATATTTTCTGTGGATTACGATGTGCAGCGCCTGGCTTCCGGATCCTTTCTTTCATGTGTGTTTGTGTCAGTAGGTATTATCAGATTAGATAATCCTTTGATTTGACAAAAGGTCTGCCTGATCAGCATTCTCAATCTCATCACCTTTCCTCTCATTCGTCTCTCCATACACACCAGACTGGCAGTGAGGTGGATTAGAATGGAAACAGTCAACAGCAGAGACTCTGACTACAGAGGGAAACTGATGAGAAGCATTATCACCAGATATTTTCTCTAGCATGAAGGTTTTGATCTCTTCTTAGGGTCATAAACACACACACATACACGTCTCTCTACATTTGTAAGGACAGTCATAATGCATTGCTTAGCCCTTACCCTAACCTTAAACATCACAACTAAACAAGCCTTTGAAAAAGTAAGTCTTCACAAATACATAAGTACAAGTACACACACACACACATAGGTCTCAGGGTGTCCCAACCTACGTATGTGTAATGACCTTTCAAATTAATTTCAAATATGACATTTTATTTGTATAGCCTATATTCACAAACCACAAATGTTTCACAGAGATGAATGGAGCAGTAATGACAGAGGTGAAGGTTAGACAAAGTTTGGGACAACTGCTTCGCTTGCTCCACTTATTTAAAATAATCTGGCAGTGCCCTCTAGTGGTGACTTTCCCTTTTGACAGTGATTCAGCACAATGAAGCAACACATTCACAACATGCTGCTGATCATATGAAGAGGAAAAAGTGTCACTAGTGTTTCTATTTTGTCACTTGTTTGTGTAATTTCTCTTTTTTATTTACATGTTTAAAATAAATAAAGATAAATACAGTTYRTATTATTATTATTATCATTATCATTATTATTATTATTATCATTATAGCTGCTGCTGTTGTTGTTGTTGTTAGTATTCCTGTGATTTCTTTCCTTTGATGTGCTCAGAGGAGTAGAATGTTCACAGTCACATTTTGTTTTCTGTGCTGGTGGGCGGGGACAATTCAAATGAGCTGCGCGTGACGTAGGACGCAGACGTAGTGTCGGAGGAGGAAGTGAAAGGGGAAGAGAGCAGCAGCAGCAAGTCTCCAGGCAGACTAGCTTCTAACAAAGTGCCAAATTTAATCATCTAAATCTGCCTCCTCCGTCTACGACACTGTGGTTTTTTAAGTGTTCACGTTAAGGACGACTCTGTTTTTTATTGGGATCTGAATCGAGGCGTTGCCAAACTCAATTTATCTCACGAGTTAAGTGCCAGCGAGGAAGCTAGCTAGCAAACTAACGCCTAGTTAGCCTCTGACGCTAGCTCCCTCCTGAACAACAGCCCGCCCCGGTGCTCAGGTCTCCTCTCCGCTGTGCTTCAGCTCCAAAGTAAGTTTTTATCTTCCAGATAACAATCAGTTTGATCCTGTGATGAATGTTAACTCGCTCATCATCCGCTCGGTTTCCTGTTAACGCTAACGCAGCTACGGCTAATGTTAATGGTGCTGCGGTGTTTTTTCGAGAAGCTGGTTTGCGAAAACAAGGCCTGTGTCTCCTCTGGGTCCAGTCCAGCGAGGAAGGAGACGACGCTGTGCAACGAAGCTCCGTCAAGATATGTCCTCTGTCCAATGTCGAGAGTGTGGATGTGTTATAGTGACGTTTCCCCGCAGCCTTCATGCGCTCAGGTAGAAGCTGCAGGACGCTCACAGCTCTTCCACTGGAAACGGTCTCTGTGGTAGTCATGTTTAAAGGTGTTAGTCTGCGACTTGTTGTTGGCAGTGTTGTGTGTCGTTGTGTTCCCAGGAACACGGACTGTTGGTTGCGGTTGTGACTCATGCATGGACATGCTTCACTTTGTTTAGTCAGAGATATTTCATTTGATGATGTGGTTTCAACGCCTATTACTTGAACCAACACGTTGGGTGGAAATGTTGCCAGTGTTGTTGACGTCCAAACTCCAAAAGTCCTAATGTTTTTCAATGCATGTCATCTCACCTTTCCCCTCTGGTCACCTGAACCTCTTTCCTTGCGTGTGGAAACAGTGAGATGTGTCCCTGCTCTGTGATTTTCTTTTTAACTTATTGCATTTGTTGACAACTTTTCATCTGAAGTCACTTGACATTAATGTAACTTGACATTAAAACTATTTCACTGTGAATTACCCGCCTGGTTGTTTGGATCAGCTTCAGTTCAAGCTCATCTCACATCCGGTGACTTGATTTTTCTGATTCTTAATATTATCAGTATGTTATTTATATTATCATTATGTTCCTGCTGGCACTGTCAGCGTGTCTCTTTTTTCTTTTTTCCACATGTTGCATAGACGGCTGTATTGCACCATATACCCTCCAGTTTGTCCTGGAGTGGTGTACTTCATTGTTTACAGTTGAATTCGCAGGATTTTGCGTAAGCTCATGTGAAAAACATCATTTTTCTGAAGGATCTGTCTTTCTATTTAATACAGCTCTGTAATATAACGGCAGAGGTCCAAGATGTTGTGAGTTTACATAAACTTTGGCTTCACAATATACTACACATACTAGAAACTATTGGTGCTGTTATTAGTTATTGTTTCAACACAATTGGTTTATCTGACATGACATCATTTGGCTACCACAATCACATGGTTCTTTAGGAAACATGAAGATGGCCTAACTAACTGACAGCGATGGACAGAGCATTGAGCAACATCTGATCTCAGCTGTCCTAATCTATATTTAGTCCCTTGTTTGTTTTTATGGTTGGTGTGCCTGCATCATAAACAATATATCATTTACAGTTGTTTATCAGATGAAATTGAGTAAACAAGTAACTTTAAACTAGAACCCATTTCTTTTTGCAGGATAATTGTAAACACATTCATCCAGACTCACTTGTATATTTACAATTCAGTGTTCCAGTAAATTGTGTTTACCTGTATATATTTATATATGATATTAAGTAACAACACAGATTTTCATTAACTCGCAAATACTGTACAGATTTTTCAGTTTGTTACAAAATGCTAACCTTTGTATCAGTCGAATTTTCCAGTTAACACTGATGTTGCAATTGTAATAAAATGAATCAGGTGAGAGACTTTCATCCGATTTCAAACTAAGGCTCCAGTCACAGACCATAATCTGCGTTCAGGAATTGATGTTTTACGCTCCGTTGTCTGTGAAAGCATCAAGATGTGGGATGTGATTGCTCTGTTGTCATGTGACTGGGTAGAGCATGCCCAGGCTTCAGTGATGTGCTGTGGTTCTTGCTTCTGTCAGCTCCTCTCCACAGTATGCTAGTCACTGGAGTGCTGTGCTTAGTCCACCCACAAAGAATGCAAGTGTACTTTACAGCTCCAGATGGGAACTGAAGTGTTTGTGTTTTTAGGTTAAGTTTAGAATCAGGATTTATTTTCACGGCTCACAATTTAGTGTAAAATCAACATTTTCGTGTGTTTTTAAAATGTTTTTTTAAAGTATTGTTGATTTATGTTCTATCATTTGTTTACCATTGAAACCAAACATTTCCAAAAAAAGGGGCAATACTGATAGTGAAAGGATTTCCTCATCCTCCCATAACCATCCTACAATTTAACAGTTTTTTAACCAAAATTCTTGTTTAATTGGACGTCTGTAGTGACTCGTCTCACATATTTATTTTCTCTAACAGTTATACTTTGTCAAACTTCAATCTTTCTGATTGCAGCATATGTGACAGCTATGATTCTGATTCTCTATATTTGTTTCTGTTCATTCAGCTTAGGTGAGGCAGTCTCACGTCTTGTAATGTTAGGGAAAACCCGAACTTACATGACGTTCAGATAGGAAGTGGTCAAGTTTTCTGTTAGACTGTTGTGTAACAGGTTAGTGCGCTTCACAGAGACAGATGAAAGTGATCGTTTGATTTCCCTAAAACCATCCACAGAACTGGTGATTAATTCATTTGTTGACTGACAGTTGTTCCAGTATTTTTAATTTATTTACTTGTTGCAGCCCTTAGTGATTAACACATGTAATTGCCCGTAGTCACATTTAAGATCTCCTTCATTGTTGTAGGGAAACACTGCATCTTATTCCCATCAGACATTCACTACTGCAGCCACCCTCACTAACAGCATGCACATCTACAGAGGACCGTCTAAGGTTTTGTTTCTTATCAAAATCGGTGTGCTCGAGTGTTAACGAGTAAGACAAGTGAATACGCAGCCTGTTATGTAATGAAGGTTTATTTTAGACAATCCCTCAGGACTGGAACATAGACTTCTTTGTTTTCTGTTTTACTGTTTGTTTTGTAATGAGCTGCTGTCACGATATACTGTAAATAGAGGGTGAAATTACTAATATTAGGAGGGACTAAAAAGGAGTTAAGCAAATCAGTTTCTTTTTGCTGACATGCACTAATATAAAAACTGTAAAGAATAAACAATGTAGAAAATGTGAACATTTATGTTACCTTTTTACTTAAGTTTTTGCAACTTCTGTATATTTGGTTGTATTTGTTTTTTCTTCATAATAAAGTATGTAGTCAAACTGTAAAATATCAAGCCTCAATAAATTGTATTTCTCACAAGGGATTGATAAAGACAGACTTTAGCAATGTGTTTTTAAATAACCGTATATATCAGCCGATACATCAGTATAGCAGAAAAATGTTACTCCCTATTTTTGACATCAGCAATCCCAATCTTTTGTGCACAACTACCAACCACTTCTTGTGATGTTGTCCCCCCGCTGCACTTTCAAAGAGGTCAGAACATGATTTGCTCACTTGTGCTTTTGACAAAATCTCAGATCTTGCTTAACCAATTTTGATAAAAGGGAATGAAGCACATCACTGTTCACTGCTGCATTTGAGCTTTAAAAATTACACAGATTTCCTAAAGGCGTGCTGCAGTTATTGCTCAAGGTATGATTCAAAAACCACTGAGGCAACATGTATATTGTTGACCCTACAATTGAGGAAATTTTTTTACACATGCCAAAGTTGTTCCTCATTCTTTGAGCTTTTATTTTTTGATAACTACATTTGAAGGGATGACATAGTGAGATCTCATTAGTACAATATTAGATTTTTATTTGCTATAAAATTGCATCTGTGATACAATTGTGTGCACATATGAAGACTCAGACAATAAGGCTTTTTTAAATGCACATGTAGAGTGTCCCCTAACTCATGGTGAGTATGCTCTTTTAAGTGTAGTAGCTGGTCTGCTCAGTGACCGTGAGATCAGCAGAAAATGTCAGATGTGTCACTTGGTTTTGAGGAGTCTGTTCTCAAGGAGGTGACTTCCTGTGGTGTGTAAGAAGGGAAAGAGAAAGAATGATGTGGTCCTCGTGATTTGCCTGGCAGCTAAGAAAGCACATGACTGGAATAAATGGTATTCAAAGCTGATTGGTCCATGGGCAAGAAGCTCTGCATGCAAATTTGTAGACTAATGTCTCCCTATGGCCTTCTCTGCACTGAGACTTATTCACTTTATTGATTTTAATGTGGTGATTAGTTTATGACTCTTTGCATGTGGAACTTACTAAAGGTTGTTTGTCTCTCTGCAGCTGCTGAAAAATGACATCCAGGAAGAAAGTGCTCCTGAAAGTCATCATCCTGGGAGATTCTGGGTGAGTCCCACCATGACACACAACGCAGAACAGCACCAGTCATCGGTTATTAATGTTCTACAAAGCTTTGTAGCAAAGCAACTAAATGAAAGGGTGTAAGTTCAGTAGTTGGATCCTCTTTTCAAGTCACTCTGTATTCAGATGACTTCCTTGTTGGCAGGAGTTATTAATGTGACACAAACTGTATCCAGGCAGAACAAGGCCTCTGCTCCTTATCAATTCAGCTTAACTATTTTTATTTGCAGAACTAACAAGACACAATCACTTCTGTTATAATAACTGTAATATCTTTATAATGCTTAGGTTCTGCACTGGGGTGTCTTAAAACATGAATGTTGTAATCGGCTTTTTGGTTGCACTTTGCTCTTTTGACATGAGATCGCTCTATGAACGGCTCAAGATGCATGACATGGTACGAAGAAGAAATGGGGTCTAAATTACATTCAAATTCCCTCTGCTCTATTTCAAGGGCCGTCAGTCAACTTGTACCACAGTTGACTTTTTCTCCTGTTCCACCACCTACAGTGTCTGTTATTCTCTTGTTACTCTCTTGTTGCTCTCTTGTTGCTCAGTGTTGGAAAGACCTCCCTCATGAACCAGTACGTGAACAAGAAGTTCAGTAACCAGTACAAAGCTACAATAGGAGCAGACTTCCTGACGAAAGAGGTGATGGTGGACGACCGGCTCGTTACAATGCAGGTGCGGCACAGTTACGACTAATAATAACTTGGATTCATGTGGCACCGTTCAGTACCAAAAGTTTTTAGAAAGTTAGAAAAATGAAACAGGACAGGAAATAATAGTGGAAATTCTAGCTGGGGATAATGAAACTTAACTGGTCAAAACCTTTGTGAACAGATTTAAAGAGTTATGTTAAACTGTCCAGAGATGGGGCATTGCTCATCTCTGCCAGGAGAGAGCTGGTTGGTGCAGGGCACAGTGAGCAGACCTGTATTTCAGGATTGTAGGTTCCTGGATGAAGTATAGGGGAGGAGGAGGTCAGACACGTACTAGGGGAATGAAGCATTAAATAATTCAAGTTTTAAAACAGCAGCATCGTTTTAGATTCTCATCATAATGCTGTGTTTGTTTCCATCTTGTCCTCACTCCTGTAATCCTCTCCATTTATTAGAATTGTTGTCTTTCTATTTTTGCCTAGATATGGGACACAGCTGGCCAGGAGAGGTTCCAGTCCTTGGGTGTTGCGTTCTACCGTGGAGCAGACTGCTGCGTGCTGGTGTTCGATGTGACCGCACCCAATACGTTCAAAACACTCGACAGCTGGAGGGACGAGTTCCTGATCCAGGCCAGCCCCAGAGACCCAGAGAACTTCCCTTTTGTGGTGCTAGGCAACAAGATCGACCTGGAGAACAGACAGGTTGGTATGGGTAGACAATGCCTTCATGATAGACACATTTTGACCCATCCTCGATTGCATTGTCCATATGGCAGACCTCCAAACACTTAGGCCCAGCTCTTGTGGATGTGTTTCACCTGTGAACATGCATACGGAGCCACGTTGAGGGTTTTAGTGCTTTAAAACACCTCTGGCTGCACAGTGTTAATGTTGCCGATGCTCTTAAATACTTGAATTGACATCAGCTTCAAGATATTTAAATGACTCTACATATTTAAATGTTGGGTTATCAAGTAGATCTTTGGAAAATTGAATAAATTGTTTGATCTGCCCAGAAGCCATCAAAGCACATTTTATTTTGCTCTTGACTGCTTTTTCTGTTGTCTTTCTTTTGATTTACTGATGTTGGATCCTTCAGCTGGGACTTCTACATTCACTTCACCATCAGTGAGGTGTGCTCCACCTTTCTGATGTTGTCCATATGTTGTGACTGAGCTGAGTGGACTGGTTAGATTTTACATAAAGAATAAATAATCAAATTCCCATCTAGAGCAGATTGTAGAGGTCGTGCTGGTGCACAAGACTCAAGAGTGATGTTCACGTGTGTGCAACAAATGACTGGTAGTTGTAAGTCACTGTACAGATCATAGCATAGAAAACTGTTGTGTTTCTTAGCAATGTAGAATTTGGTCTGTGTTTGTCGGCTGCTGTAGAGTTTGTTGTTTATACACCGTGGCCTTTTCTGCTGTTTTATTTTGCTGTTAATTCTGCAAGAAATGAAAAGCTGTTGTATTTATGTAGCTTAATATTGCTACATAAACACCGGCTGCCATGTTAATTAATACATTTGTATTTATCGATTATCAGTCGTGTGGACAGGCAGCAAAGTGCCTGTGGATTTTTTGGTTGCCTTTGGTGCAGTTTTCACCCAGAACAAATTACATGTATTAAAATAGAAATAGGCCTGGCAGCCTTAATGTATTCTTTCATAGTTTTATCATCATTATTAGAACTATTCAACCTGACTGATTTTACTCATGCTTGAGTTCCTTTTCTTTCCACCCCCAGTAATAGGTTGTCAATGTAACCCTTTAATGCTCCAAATCCATTTTTTATAAGGTATGAAAAATAGTAAATGTTCTTTTTATTGAATCTCTAAATGATACATTTACTTGTTTAAGCTTTCTATATTGATAATGCTCTTCATCTTCATACTCACAGGTAACCACCAAAAGGGCTCAGGCTTGGTGTCAGAGTAAGAACAGCATCCCCTACTTTGAGACCAGTGCCAAAGAAGCCATAAATGTAGAACAGGCATTCCAGACAATTGCACGTAACGCCCTCAAACAGGTGAGTAACAGCTGCTTTAAAAAACGAAAATGATAAATGAGTTGGTGTCATGTTTCCCTACACTGCTTATGTCTGTCTCTTGATTCCTCACAGGAGACAGAAGTGGAGTTGTATAATGAATTCCCAGAGCCCATAAAACTGGATAGGAACGACAGAGCTAAACCTTCAGCAGAAATCTGCAGCTGCTAAAGGACAACTCGGACCGTCTTCTCTCTTGGCTTTCTGAACCACCCTGTCACCGGTTACATCACCTGCACCTTGCTCCGAGGGAAAGTACTTCCCTGCTGGTCTTCCTTCTTCAAACCACTGTTCATTCCATCAACACAACCCCACACGAAGTACGCTGCAAATGGATGTACCCCACGCCCACCGCCCACTTAGCACACAAATTAATACACTAGGGTACTCGTTGCAAAATCCATTGCCCAAAGATCACACACACATGAGAAGAATGACACCCCTTCTGACCTCGCGGCCCCTGACTTGATAGCGATTGATCTCCAATTGTCTGACTGTGGCCCCTGATTCTCACACACAGGGGCCAGATGGAGCTATGTTCAAAGATGGCAATTGGGAACTCTGGATGGACTGGCTGACGCTCTGTAGTGTGAGACGATGTTGGCTAGTGTCAGCATTCCAAGTATCTTATTCTCACGTCTGTTTTCTCTTTGCTTTATATTGCCTGACTTTCAACAAATTATATTGTGTGTGTGTGTGTCTAAATTCCCTGAATAATCTGTTTATGTGTATATCGACACCAGAAGGGAAGCAGTATCATGGAAACACATTTCAAATCAAGTAGGTATGTCAGGTGTGCGTTTTCCTCAATTGGCTGATAATATTTCTGAAGCCAATCTGAAATAATTTTTTTGCACTTTCTTTTTATGTTTATTTCTTTCAAATGTTATAGTGGGATGACTGATTTTGGCCAACGTCGGCTACACACCTTCAAATGATCCCTGTTCGTTCTCCCTGTCTAATACACACTGAGAATCTGTTTGGTGATTGTTTTGCCTTCTCCCCTCGAGGTTTACGTGGGTTTACAACTGCCTCACCGAGCAGTAATGTTCCTGAGAAGACACGTGGAAGCTAATGATGCAGTCACAGTGGATTAATTCTTAATATATTAATATTTGCCTTTTATGTAACATTACTTGTACCGCTACTATTACTGCTGTATGTGTTTACGTCTTTCATCAGACATCTTTCAATGCTATGGAATTACAGTTCACGTCACCAACACACACACATCTTCTGTCATGTCTTTGTTATCGCTGTTCTCTCTATCTGCTTGTAGCTCAGGTCGGCTAAGTACTTAATATTTTTAATGGATTGTGTATTACGTTGTATAGACAATAAAGGTAAAAGGCTGATGGACTGAACAGAAATCAATGTTCTCTCTCTCTCTCTCCATTTAAAGAAAAAAGATCCAACGTTTTGCTCTACTATTACTCCTTATAGAAGAAAATCACTGCGATGCCAATGATGTTGTCAAACAAAATTGGGATGTCAAATAAAAAAAACTCTTGAATATATCAGTGTAGCATTTTGTGTGTCAATGTGGTCAATTTCTTACATTTCCTTAATGCATCCAGGTTTTTCCTCACATGAGATTCAGTTACTTGTCTTGGTATTTGTGTCTGATATGAGACATGGGTGTTGTGTGATGTAATGTTTAGATGAACTGCAGTGTTTGAAAAACCTGGTGAATGCAAAGGGGTTTTCACTTCAATGAGCTAATTTGACATCTCACAAGGTCCTCACTCTTTAAATCTTTTGTGAGGGAGAGACCGCTCACACATCTCACAAATGTGGTGACCTTCACAAACTCACCCCATTGTTCCATATTTGCTATTTAATACACAATCATTACTTCACTTTCCAGCAAGACAGCAAACATATGAACATGCCACTTTCTTTGAGAGAGAACTGATATATTCAAGTGTCCCAGTGAGGCAACATGTACAACAAACTTAAGCCGCTTAATAGAATTTAGAAATCATTAATTTTATAATATATATTTGTGTTTTTCTGCTACATGATCATTTCTTCATTGTGTCAGGACACTGAGCCCCTACTATTTAGATCATTCTCAACTGCAATGTGTAAAAAGGATGACTAAACCACAGTGACTAAACAAGATAAACGTCTTAAAGGTTCAGTGTGTAGAACTTTGTTATATCTAGTGTTGAAATTGCACTTTGCAGCTGAACACCCCTCACCTCACCCTCTCCTTCCAAACATGAAAAATAACCTGTGGTAGCTTCAGTTGTCATAAAAACTCAAAAGGTGTTTAGTTTGTTCAGTCTGGACTAATGTAAAAAACATGGCTCCTCCGTAGAGAGGACCCCCTCCATGTAAATATAAAGTATTTGAATAAAAAGGGCCTTTTCTGGGGGAAAGAAAAACTATAATTGTTACAATTTAGATGAAATGAACTAGTGAAAACATCATGAGGATTATTCTACATTAAATTTCTGCCAATAGTTCCCTTTCACCTAAATCTTACACCTTTAAGATAACACACACTCAATATGTAGACTTGTGACCCACATGTTAATATGTGACAACAGGGAAAGCTCTGATGTGATGAATAAATAATACCGGCTGCATTCCATCTAGTTGACTTTGTTACGCCTCTGTTCTTCCAGCCATAGAAAATCAAAAATGTCTGCCACGCAAAAGGTCTGTTCTCATGGACTGAGATCATTAGTGCAAATTACCCATCAAATAATAATAATTACACTGGTGTGTTCATAGAATTCTTTTTCATTATAGTGATTATGTATGTTTACTCATTTTATTTCCTCTCTAGGACATTTTTCAGTTGGGCCCTGACCTTGTCAGGACCAGTAGACCTCATTGGGACCAAAGCCTGGATGAGGCAAAAGCTCCTGGTTGAGATTAGTGGGAAAATTCATCGTGGCTGGTTTCAGATCAGTCAGACATGATTCTTGCTGTTCTGGGTTTGTACCCTCATGGCTGAATGCACTCTTTGTAAGTTGCCTTGGATCAAAGCGTCAGCTAAATGATATGTAATGCAGACCTTAACTGGTCATGGTTGAAGTCAGGGATAAGGTTTTGATTAGGCTGTCTATAATGAATATAATGCAAAGTCCTAATTAGGATATCTGAGCATACAAAACTTGTCAGAGCAACATTTTAAAGTCTACATTAATAAGTGCAAACAGTAATAAATTCATCAGTGAAATAAAATAATACCATCAGTTTTAAAATGGAAAATCATGTCATGTCCCATGATATGTGAAAACTAGAGAAATCAACACTCAAATAAAATCAGGATAAAAACATATGTGGGCCTTAATTCGAACACGTCACTGAAAGACAGCCTTCTCCCATCCCATCATCAGAAACTCAAAGTAAAATGGCTGAAACCTGTTAAACAAATATTTCTACAGGAGGTTTCACACGTTTCACTTTGAATCACATGTTGAGCAGCGCAGGAGCTGCTGCTGTTGTGCCTGTAACATGTCACTATAGCTAACATATAGCTGAACTGTAGATCGATCATATTTATTGAGAGTATACGTTTTGTTGTTGACATTATCTTTGAGATCGATGACAGAGCCGCAGCAGCTCGGTGGAGGCAGAGCGGACTTCCGGTGTTCTGACAAGTGAAGATACTTCCGCCTTTAGCTGCTCAGCTCCTACAGAGAAATGGTGAGAGAAACTACAGATTGATACTGAGTTTAATATGTTTTAACACGAAACCTGATCGATGTTAAACTGTTACAGCTCCTCGACTAACATCACATCCGGGTAGAGCGGCGCTGCGCGTTCTTTTCCTCCAGAGGTTTCACCTCTTCTAGCTAAGCTAGCTAACAGGCTAACGTTAGCTCAGAGAAAACAAACGAGAACAGAACAATCCAGCGTCACAGAAGCGATCAGACGTGTGAGTGTCGGTGGTGGAGTTATAGTGAGATGTTGTTCAGTGTGATGTTTATGACTTGGATGGATTTTAATGCACTTGGACGGAGGTCTGCTCCTCAGCATCACATCTCAACCAGCTGCACTCAGCTTCATGAGGCAGTGACAGAACATGACACATTAAAACGTTCACACAGAGATTAAATATGAAGAAGCTTCGGATGAATGGCTGGTTGTCATGTGCAGATCATGAACATGAGCGAGCAGTCGCCCCTTCTGGGTTCAGACCAAAGCCAGATTGTAATCAGTGTAACCAGGGAGGAAGTGTGTGATCTGAAACAATTCTCCAGTCAGTCTGTGGATTCAGAGTTGCTCTCTTTGAGGAATCTTTCTCTTGTGCTCCTCCTCAGACGGCCACCCTGCGACCATACCTCAATGCAGTGCGCGCCACCCTGCAGGCCGCCCTCTGTCTGGAGAATTTCTCATCACAAGTGGTGGAGAGACACAACAAGCCAGAAGTGGAAGTGCGGTGAGCCTGACTTCACGGCTTTGAAACAAAGTACAAGATTTACAAAACCAATAGTAAGAGTATGTGTTTCATTCCTCCTGTAGGAGCAGTAAAGAACTGCTGCTCCAGCCAGTGATCATCAGCCGCAACGACAAGGAGAAGGTTCTGATCGAGGGCTCCATCAACTCCGTCAGAGTCAGCATCGCTGTCAAGCAGGTCGGTCGGGCTCCAAACTGATGGTTACACTGATAAAGGATCAGATTTAAATGGCGACGACTGACAACTATTTCCCTCTATCTGCTGCTTTAGGCAGATGAGATCGAGAAGATTCTGTGCCATAAGTTCATGCGTTTCATGATGATGAGAGCAGAGAACTTCTTCATCCTCAGGAGGAAACCCGTGGAGGTAAGTGGGGGTTGAAACAGGGTTCTCACAAATACTGCATACATATGATGAGCCCTAAATATCCTGAAGTCATTTATTTTTTTCATTTGATCAAGTTGAACGATCTTGATTAGTTAGAGTCCTTGAATGCCTCTTGAATATCTTAGTTAGCAGAGGCAGCAGAAACTAAACCGAGTGTTATGTTTAAATAATGATGGATGGTATTTAATCTTTGAGCCAGAAATGTCAACATATGTTTTATCATTAATAAATACATAGGAAATGCCCAGAACAAGTATTTGTTTGAATTAGAGACTCGGTTTAACACATTTTCATGTGTGTAGTTGATGTCTTTGAATGCTGTTTGTTGTCTGTGTCATCTTCTATTTCTGGTACCTAATAGTTAGGGATTTCAGAGTAAAAGATTGATTTTCAAAATAAAGGTTTGGAAAGTTAAAAGTTAAATGGCAGAGTATCTATTTTACTTAAAAATGAAATGAAAAGAAAACCTGAACATTGTTCAGGGAAAGTTTGGAAAGAAATGGATGAAGGGTTTCGGATGAGTAGCCTGATACACACACACAGCTCTCCCATTATAGCAGCATAGAATAGCCCAGCCAACATGACAAACCCGAATCTCCGAGCCCGGCCCTGGGGTCAGGGTTGTGGTTGAGGCAATAGTTTGGATATACAGGGTCCTGATGGGCTCAGGTCAGCTATCCACACTCTTCTGATGGCATCCTGAATTATGTGTGTCAGTTAAACACCTACACGTGAAGACAGGACCAGATCCTCTCTTTACATCCATCTCTCTTTTCTTTTTCTACACAGGGGTACGACATCAGTTTTCTAATCACCAACTTCCACACGGAGCAAATGTACAAACATAAACTGGTGGACTTTGTCATTCATTTCATGGAGGAAATTGACAAAGAGATCAGTGAAATGAAGCTGTCAGTCAACGCTAGAGCTCGTATCGTCGCTGAGGAGTTCCTCAAAAACGTAAGTGTGACTTGTCTACATTTTTATTTAGTAGATGAATGATTTGTTTTTGCATTATATTTCATATTAGGATGACAAACTATTAAATATTGTTTCTGATTGTGTTCAGTTTACTGCTTATTACTTCAATGTTTTATTATCAATAAAAGCTTAGTATGGTGTGTTATGATTCAGATAAAATCTTAATGTATTTCTGGTTCGTTGAAGAGAGATGTTTTGTAGCTCAGATGTTGTTTTTGTTTTGCTCTTGCAGTTCTGAAACGGAGGAATACATTCTTTTTGCAATCTTGGCCGTCACTTTGGAGCGTTCACATCACAGGGCAGAGACGAGACAAAACGCAGAGAGACGTTCAGAAATATAAGATGTACGGTAAATATGTACTGGCCAATAGGGTTTTGCCCGTAAACCTTAAAACGCCCCTGTGCTCAGAAATATTGACATTTGTACATAATGAATATTTACACCAGACATGAATTTCTGAATTTCCTTTTAGAACATTTGGATGTGTCAGGGCAGGTCCTTAAACAAGAATCAGTATTAATGAGCACAGGGTAATATGGAAATTATTATTTAAATTTTTATACATACACAGACAAGTATGCACATTTCATTTTGCTGTTTTGTTACGACATGAAAACAATCAACCAGTATACGTTCCTTGTGTTAGTACACAGAGTAGATCCTATTGTTGATGGACCATTAAACTAAACTGAAATGTTTGCGGTGAAGATAAATAAAAACATTATTCTTTGTATTTTAGTGATTTCTTTTATTTATCTGTTGGGGTTTTATGAACAGCAGCTCGGTCTCACTCCCAAAACATCGCTGGTTCATCGAGATCGTGACGGCTGACAACAAACAAGGCATTTAGAATCTTTTTCTGTTATATACAATATCAAATGTATAATATTACAGAAATTGTACAGTTTTCAAAAAAGACAAAATATATTACATGTTAACTTTCACACAAAACTTACATCAAACAAACATGCATGTACAGTTTGCACTGTACCTTATTTTATACTCCAAATACAACCAGGTACTTGTTGTGATAGAATTATTTATCAGTCATGTAGTGTCTTTTTTAGTGTCACACTTATGACTGAAGATTTCTGATAGAACTTTTACCTTAGTTCTTAAAGACTGAAACCTAATAAAGTCCCTTTTCTGAAGTCTGTTTGAATTACAGAGCAGGAGCTGCAGGGCATTCAGAAAGTTCACCACTCCTTCACTACATATTTTGTTTTGTCGCAGCCTCATGCTGAATACAAATTAATTTCTTCCTTCAATCTAGACTCAAAACCACATGACAGAGCAATTTTAAAAGTTTGCAAATATACTAAAAAGCAAAAACTGAAATATCACATTGAAGTGACACCTTGATTTGATTCTGATTCAATTGTTGGACGTGCACACACACTCGTCTCAGATCACAGCTGACAAGCAAAGGTCGAGGAGATGCAGAGCTCAGAGACAGGAGTGTGTGGAGGCACAGATGTGGAAATGGTTTCCCTCCAAAAAATCTACTGTTGTTAATCTTGGAAGATTTTCCAAGAGCCAAGTTGTCTTCATCACTCTTAAATGGTGAAGTTAGAACAGCTAGGACTCTTCATAGAACAGGCTTCCGAACTGAGCAAATGTGTGAGAAGGGCCTAAGGTGAAGCTAAACTTCATGCGTTACAGCAAAAGGTCTAAGAACTTGTGTAAATGTGATAATTTAGTTTTTCCATTTTTAATAAATCTATTTTTGCATTGTCATAATGGGGAATTGAGTGTATATTGATAAAGCAAACATTTCCTCTATGCACTTCTGCAACATAACAAAAAGATTCCTACTTAAATATACTATACATTGCACCTTTGACAAAAAAAGTGTTGCATTTATAATGCTAGTGCCACTTTATAAGTTGATTTTCTTTTTTCAGCACCTCTGGAATGTTTTTTGAAACATTGTTTTTATCATCTGAAATCAAAGCAGGCAAACTCAACCCATGAGCTGGTTCTTTCTAAACTACAAATCAATAACCAGGGAAAGAAAGTTCTTGTTTTACAAAAATTTAAATGTTCATTTGTGTCTTTTGAAAAGTTTCACAACAGTCAGGGTTTAAGGACATTGGTCAGAAGTGTTTAAACTGAAGTAACTCTAGTCTCCTCATAATTTTTTTTTGGGGTCATGATATATGTTCTTCATACAAGGAAAACATCTAAACAAACAGAAAGCACCTGGCGATGTACACAGAGCACAATATACACTGGATGTTAAATATAATCCATCAGAAACGACGGAGAAAGTGAAGGGAATCTTACAATGACAACAGACCTACATATCAAAAATATTGGCGTTCACACAGTTCACAACAAACAGATGTATAAAAATGGATTGTATTTACTCAAAGTGCTTATAGTTGGAGTCTGGGGAGATGTTCATTTCTCCGGATCAGTGACGAAGCTGCTGCAGTCGGACGAGGTCTCAGCAGTAACAGGAAGTGCAGGAGATCAGAAGTGAGCCGGGACCGTTAGCAGAGCGTCCTCAGTGCTGCGCTGCACGTTCACATTCTGAAAGAGCCACAACAGAAGAGAGGACTGAGTTATAGTCCCACATTACTTATCATATAAATTCAATTCTTTTCACAGAGAAATCCCTAGATGAAAAGCTATTGTGAGTAGAAAGACTCAAGATAGTAATTTATTCATCTGATAGTCACTGTGTCTGGACTGAAAATACTTTTTTTTAAAATATATATTTAACTTCACAGAAAAAAAACCGGGACATACAATACAAACATAAAAGACAATAATCACAAAGGACAGAAAAAATAAATAAAAGCCAGACTCTACAGAGATACGCTACAGCGTCACAGCCTATACTAATTCAGTAAATCAAAAATCAAAAATAAAGCATATGGTGAGAAACAGCCAGAAATCGCGCAGCATTTGGGTCATTCAGGAAAGTTAAGGTGTCTATAAATCAGACCCACAAGGTGTGCTGTGATAATCAGTTTGAACCTTTTTGAGTAGTAGACATTAAAAATAAACCTCATATTCATCTAAATGACAAATCAGACATTTTCAAAAGAAGAAATACATGTGAGCATGTGACTGTGGGGAGCAATTCATCTGTCTCGATAGTAGTCACTTGCCCACATGACCCATGAAACAGGTTCTGCTTGATGTAATTAAGAACTGAACCCTGAAGGTTTCCTTCCACACATGTTTAACTGTGTGATGGTTAAAACAACTGTTTGAATAAAAATGTATTTAAAGTTTATCAGAAGGGAATTCATGGTCTGAATTGGACAAATCAAATGGATATCAATTAATGTTCATTTCAACTTACTTCTTGGTTCACATGGACACAAACTTTGTGTTTATGGCCGAGGAATGATCATGTTTTAGTGTCTTCAATTTTCGCTTTTTAGAAATTGTATATTACTTAAAAATGTCTTAATTGAATCCAGTTTTTGCTCCAATGATCTTTTTACAAACTAGTCCTTAAAGGTTTTACTGAGACGAATCATTAAGATCAAACTCAGATCACTTTTGAAATGTGTTCTGTGATTGTGCACATGTTCTAGACACAGTCATGACTTGAGTGCAGTTCACGTTTGACAAAAACTGAACACTGATGTTTCCACCAGAAAAATGAACAGAAGAGTGATTTTTTTTTTCAATTTGGACATTTATATTCACAATGAATAAACCTTGACAAACACAAAAATAAAGAAAAACGTTTCATTTGATCAAATAATATAAATGTTTTCACCAGCAACCTAAAAATTACTGATTTCATAATAAATGACGTAGAAAAACTGAAAATTCAGACAGGACATCACAGATTATCCTTCATTTTTAAACAGGAAACAAACCTTAAAAACAAGAGAATGAAATTTTGCTGCAGCTTATATGCAGCAAAATATATATTGAGGTTAAATGTATTTGTTTTACACACAAGTATAAAGTCAGTCAGGTTATATAGCATACATGGAAACAACTGTAAATACAATCAGGGAAGAATTCATGATTTGGAAAAGAAATGTATATCAGAATTAAAAACAATGAGTAATGTGATTGTTCTCATGTTTTCATTCAGTTTGTTCCACCACACGTCCTCTACACTTGTAGAGAACTAATGCATTTCATATCTTAATCCAGATAATCAGAGCTCAATGTGTGACCCCAGCCCCACCTCTAATCTTAACCACCAAACTCAAACTGAAAGTCTGACTGTGACGTCGCAGCAGAGCATGCGCTGTCCATGCAAACGGCACTTATGATGAGGACCAGCCAAGATCTGAAATTCAAATTCCTCACAAATGTAGGTTTACACACACACACACACACACACACACACACACACACANCACACACACACACACACACACACACACACACACACACACACACACACACACACACACACACACACACACACACACACACACACACACACAGCGGAGTGTTTTATCCTGGAAGTGGAGTCCATGTCGTTCCCACCAATATGTAAAAATCAAACAAAAGTATCAGTATATATATCAGTACATAACAGTATTGTAACATTCATTTCTGACGAAAATGAAACCAGAGGTCATGGTGGAGGTAGGAGTGTCAATGTTAAGCGATGTCACGGTTGTCATGGTTATCATCATGAATCTCCTGGAGACCGAGCACAGCCTCCTCATTGTGAAAGATTTAAATTCTCATGCGATCAGAAGAGAGGGATGGATCCACGGCTGGTCTGCGTGTTTCAGGAGGGAGATGAAGAAAAGTGCGGAAGACACATTGTGTCTCTCCAGAGATCACGTTTCACACTGCTTCTAAACACACAGCGTGTTCTGAGACGACGTCCTGACTCAGTCGCAGATCGCAGAGGATGTTGTCTTGAACTTGAGGTGAAACCCCTGAGGTGGATTCAACCTGTTTACATCGTCTGCTGACAGACATTTGTGTGCTGCCTGGGATACCTACCTCTGGTCTGTCTCTGTGGGTGTTCACAGCGTCCACGCTTAAATAGACAGGCTCCACTTTACATCCTGAGTGAGGACAAACAAGGAAAAGGCTCAAAAGTTAGATCCAGTTGGGTTTGTGCCATCTGACAATCGGACGTCATGTGACGATAGGAAAATATTGCATATGACGCTGTGCTGTTTATTTTGTTGTGTAATAAATCAATCTTCACAGCAGCAATATACACGGGAGATAAATCCTCATTTTGTTTTTGTTATAAGCAAGATAGAACTACAAGATGTTACTGCTAAACAATAGTAGTGAATTTATAGTAAATACATGATATAAGCCGAGAATAAAAATGGTATAACTTACCGTAGGCCATGGGGGTCAACTTCAATACAGAGTGCAAAGGGCACTTAAGATAAGGCAACTCATCTGTGGAGACAGAGACATGAAGTTTCGAGGTCAGTGTGTGAAACATATTTTCACTTTCAATATGTTGCAAATTAAAACTGAAACAAAATAAGGAACAGCGCCTCCTGCAGCCACACATGTGCTAATGAGGTTTTCATGTAGAGAGAAAAAACAGAGCCTATCAATGGATATGATGACTGGAGCTCTGACTGCATAGTCCCACTCACTGAACTGAAAACACAACTGACAACAAATGCTAAGAAATCCACCAAACTCTGTTTAGAATTCTTCATATTTAAAGTTTCCTCACTGAATATCAGAGATGAAGGACAGATTTTTAATGACTTCTCAGTCTTTTGACTTTTGATAGTTTGGCTTCACTCTTAAACTTACTGGACCTGATTCTTGCAGGAGATCTTACCAAAGTTACATAGAGCAAGAACATGTGTTCAGGATGAGGCGTGGGAATGAAAGCAGAACAAATCTCCCCATTCCAAGTCAGTGTACCATGAAACTCAATTTGAAGCTGCTATTGTGAGGGAAAAATGTTGCATAGTGTTGCTTTAAAAACCAGCCTAATACAGTATATATTCTAAATTGGCAAAATAAAAGCTTTTGTCCATCAACTCCAAGTCCTTCATACCTGCAGACTTGTCCAGGAAATATGCGAGAAGACAGCGCATCACTGCCTGGTGACAAATCACCAGAATGTTCTCTTGTCTCTCCAACTCCATGATCACCGGCTCCAGTCGCTGCACCAGGTCTTCATACGACTGAAAATCACAGACACGTCAAACACAGTCATGAGGACAGGAAGTCCTCCAAACAACAAGGATGAGACATGTGGAAGAATCCCACTCTCACCTCTCCTTTAGGATAGCGGTAGCGGTACTTGTCTTGGTCTCTCAGTGCGAACTCCAGGGGGAAATGCTCCTGAATCTCTTCGTACCTCATTTCCTCACACACGCCCTGAAAGAAGGAAGATGTGTTTAGCTCAAGAAGATAAATGTTTAACATGTGCTGCTGTATTCACTTCACAAATATAGAAATCAACGTACGGCATCTATTTCGTTGAGAGACTTCCACTGTTCGTATGGCACTCCAAGGCACTCTGCCGTCTGGATTGTCCTCTTCATCTGGCTGGTCCACACCTTCAGATCTTTGATGTACTGCTCCTGGATGAATTTCCTCAGACTTCTGGCAAACTAGAAATCAAGACCCTTGTATAAATTATATCTATCCAATGAAAACTCAGGTTTTAAATACAAAACACAAACACACACCTCTTTTCCTCTGTTAGACAAACCAGAGTCTCCTCCGATGCGTCCCTTGATGTTGAGGTCACTCTCGCCGTGACGACACAGGTAGATGGAGCGTGGCGTAATGTGGATGTTCATAAGGTAGTAGACGATTCGACTCTGGATGTGATCGACAACACGGTTCACCAGGTATTGACGGCCCACGTCCATGATCTTTATGTACGACAGGTCCCTGAAGCAGGAAAACCAGTTACACATCTGTGATCTTTTGGAGCTGATTTAAATCCACTCTGTTGTTGTTATGTGTCCTCACCTGTCCAGAGCCTCGTCCAGAGGCTGGTAGGACGACTCGTAACATTTGATTCTCTTCATGAAATCCTCGACGGCCTCCTCTCTGTTGCAGTGAATGTAGTCTGGGCTGCCCAACTTCACTTGCTACAGGAGAGGAAACACGATGTGGATGTGAGCAGAGAAAAGGGGGTGTCGGCTGTCTGATGCGTTTAGCACTTTGTCATGTTGAGTTTATTCTAATCTGAACTAGAGCTCCACTGTTCTCTTCCATCTGACCCTGATCATCAGCAGTAGACACGGGTTTAAATTGGCTTCAACCAGGTGAATATAAATTAATTTTGCTAATTTGGCAAGACAGCAAGTTGAGAGGGCGTCCCAGCCTTCGGTGCGTTTGTGATGTTGAACATGAACAGGGAGTAAAATGAGAAAAGGCAAACTCCTCCACTGGAAATAGGAAAGAAATCCCCTTTTGGTGGTTTTACTCAAAAACCTGCAAACCTGCATGTATAAACTCATTTTGGTGTAAAACGGGTATTAGAAATTATAGCTAAAATTCAGCATGCATTTCTTTGTTCAAAGTTAAATATTCCACCTATCAGCACCTCTACAGCTGGTCTTCATTTTTATCCAGTCCTCAACAAAAAAGTTGAAGCTGTTTCCTATGCAAGGACAAACTCATTTTGCATATACTTTGATTTAAAGAATTGTTTAAATGAGACTGGATTGAATAACTTGAGACAATACTTACAACTATATTTTGTGCAATGACATCTGGATCCTCACACACCGACTCCACAAAAAACACCTGCATTGACAAAACAATATGTTAAACATTAAGTAAAAAAGACTAATGACTCAGATAAAAACCTCAGTGAAAATACCTTGAACCCGTTCTGCTCAGCGAACTTGACGATGGTTCCTCTTCTCTCTCTCGTTGTATTTGTGGCATCAAAGACCTGAAACAGCAGAAAAAAACATTCCTAATTTAGCCCTGATTTATTCTTAATTATTGTATGACTAATTTGTCAAGCAGACTTCAGGGACAGTATCAAGGACTCACCGCCACCTGTCCTCCTTCAACACTCAGGTACTGCCGAACATCATTGAGAGCTGCCATCGCACACTGACTGTTGAAACACAGCAGACAGTAGGTTCAGGGTGTCCAACACTGTTTACAGAGTAGCTGCAGCTACTGTTGAATTTTGCCAGAAAAGCTGTAATAGTCTCAAGGCCTTTTAAATAGAATGTGTGGAAAGATTATGAGAGAAAATTTTACATTTGACAGTTTACAAAAATTACAATATTTCACACCGATGACGGGAAATAAATCATCACATGACAAATTATTATCTAAGACAAATGATGTTCAAACAATCCTTTATGATCATGTTTTGTTTCTCAGTTTTGCCACTTCTTCAAAATTTAAAGAAGTTATAAAAAGTATTTTTTTAAAGAAGTAAAAATGAAATAAAAAAATCTTTTCATGACCATCCACTGCCCTAAAGTATTGTGAGTACAAAACTTTGGGAAGTACAATGAACCTATACCAGAAACTGATCTCAAATCTGATTGGTAAACAGACAATTTTGGCAATATCAGTGATTTTCACGTTTGTCAAATTCAATTTCCATTAGGTTTATGCTCACTTCAAATGTGCTCTACAATGTTGTCTCAAGATCACCAGATTAAATTGGACTGTATTCTGACTGTACGATCACTTGAATATATTTCACAGTTTATCAGAGTGGCCGGTGGCTGTATCCAGCAGATCTCGCCTGCAGGACACAGGTTGATGCTAGAGAAATCAATGTGGACTCACCGTCTGATTTTTAAACCTTCTTCATTGTCTGGACGGAAAAACTCAAAGGACTTGTAGATCTTCAGACACTCCCTCCGATACTGGCCGACATTGAACTCTGTTACAAACAGACATCATTTGCGTTCAATGATAGAGCTCTTCAAATTCATTTGCGCTTGACTTTTATATAAAGTGAACCCCTGTTCCATGTCTGTGTGTTGGAGACTGCAGTTTCTACCTTTGGTTGGCACACCGATCCAGTTCAAGTAGCGAGTGAGCTTCTTTGAAATGTAAGTTTTCCCTCTGGCTGGAAGTCCCACAGTCACAATGAGGGTCGGGCAATTTGTCATACATACTGAAAGTGAAGCAGACACACAGAAACAAAAACTTTTATTAGACTTTACTTAGAAGTGACAGAGTGAATAAATTATAAAACTTATGATTCATGTTAGTTTCCTGTCACAACACAACATGTTGATATTGTTCCATTCAGCAGAGTTGTCTTGATTGCTACAGAAAATCCCAGCCAGACAGAGTAGTTTTAATTACAACAACTAAAACACACTGTGAAACACGTTCAAGACCAGTTCTGAAGTAGAATGAGAAAAAATGAAGAAATGTCAAGAGGATAAACCAAATAACAGAAGATGACGATGGAAATGAGAAGGTATGAAGAAGAAGGTGAGGTGTTCATTTTATCAAATCCAGAGGGACGTGCAGAGTAACTATTATTCTGAAATCACTGTTGCAGGGTTAGGGTTACCTGCCGCCACCTTCATTACTAGGGCAATACTCGTTTTCACCAACAGAGGGTGATAGCGGCTGAGTGTATGTGAGAGACTGTCAATGAGCAGTCATGACGTGGTCAGTGAGGACAACATGGACTGTATATAACGGTAAACTAACTAAAAAGTCAAAATACACATTAAATGTACAGGTGACAGCACCATGTGTAGATGGGAAGAAGATTCTTACTCATGGAGCCATGTTTCATGTTTGTTTGATGCAAATCAAGAGAATAATATAAGTAGAGAAGATTAGCTTCTATAGCTAATGTAGTCAGGACTAGTAGGTTAGTGCGTATACCTGTATGGCTCTTCACTACAGTTTACTGTATTTTTGTTGCTGCACTGATAAACAGCAGGCAAACAATAGGATATAGTCGGTCAGGATAACAATTATAACTCTACACTGATGTTTTATTTTATCGCCTTGATGGAAACTGTCCTCAATCAATGGAAAAACTGTCAAATGCAATCATAAATCGCATTTTAGATTCTGCAGCCATTATTTCAAATTGGTGTGCTTTTTTTAATGTTGGAATTGGTTCCAAGTGTAAAACTATTGCCTATACAAAAACCATTCCAAGTAAAACCCCTTCTTCAGATATATTCCTCTCGTCACAGATATGAGGATGATGTCAAGGATGACAGAACATCGATGTCTTCAGAGACACTTCATCACATATAGTGACAGTGATATACAATAGGAAATAAAAGATTGCAGATCAAGTTGAAGAGGGTTCAGTGTTCAGTGCCTCCTTCGGGGCTGGGCTGGCTGCAGCTTGTTTTAAAAAGAAAGCAGCTGAGACAGTCAGAGCTTGACTCAGCAAAAACCAGCTGCAGAGCTGCAGAGAGAGGAGTCCAGACTGAAAACTTCCCTGCATGCTCACGCTATCTCTCTCTCACACACACACACGCACGCACACACACGCACTCTAGATGTTAGAGATGCGGTCCTGGGTAATTCGATGCGTTTGGGTGATGAGTGTGTCATTTGGTCAAATCCAATCAAGCCGGATTCAAATTATTTCTGAGTGCTATTCTGATTGATCTCCGTGCGTGGGATTCCAACGTAAAAACGAGCTGCATGATGCAACAAGAGAGGCAGGAATATTCTGCAGTTTGTTGGTGCGCAACATCCAAAACAACCGTGCGTAAATGTCATAAAACTGAAAAATAAAGAAGTGAAACGACAGACGGGCTCAGGAAAACGATAAAACACGAGAGGGTTCAATCGAAGAGACTCGCCGCATCACCTCCCGGTCCCATCCTCTGACGGCGAGCTGCATCTTACCCCGTCTCTGCGCTATGTGGCCGTTCTTACACGGCATCCAGATCTTCCTCAGCGGGTTCTGAGTGAGCTCCCGCGGGGACGCGTCCGACACGAAGTCCTCGTTGTCCAGCATGCTGGATGTCCCCCTCCTGACCTGGCCACACACTGACTGAGGTGGTGGGCTGCAGACCCGGTAGACAGATTCAGCAGCGGGGGGGGGGGAAGGAGGATCAGCTGAGGAACAGCAGCGCCCCGTCACCGTAACGACTGGAGAACATGCGCAACCCGAAGCGATGGGGCAAACAAAGGGCCTGGAGCAGGATGTACTGCAACTTCAATTAAACTGCTATTTCATACATGTTCTAACCCCTCACCTCAAGGAATATATATACGTTCATGCAATTATTTGATTTCATGTTACAGTGTTAGCTCCAGCAGACTTGATAGAGGAATATAAATAATACAAATATGCCATATGTAAAGGGTGAGAATCGCAAGGTAGGACACGATACATGGCCCACAATTACATTAATATTAATATAGAGCAATTCTGCAAAGATCTATATAATGCCAGACAATCATATAAAAAATACATCGTGATATCTGCCAAAAGCTGCTATCAGACATGCACTGAGCTCCGGATAATCTACAGACATTTTCTGGAGTGGCTGGATGTGAGAGGACAATGTCCGAGTGAGAGGCTCCGCACTTTCTGCTGAGTTTCTACCGCAAGTCCCTAAGTATGAAGTCTGCAGAAAATGTCTTGTGGAGGAAAAATGTGAAAGCACAGCAGGAGATCCTCAGCAGCATTCATCGTGCAGCGTGTTGATGATGTTAAAAAATGAAGAAAGAAAAAGGAAAAAAATCTTTATGACTGGATGATATCAGGAATTAATCCAGTCAAACTTTAGCAACTATTGGACAACTCATATTTATGCAGCCACAATAATAATGATAAAAAGAGCTCAGTCAAAGAGGGCAAACGGGCAACTTCAGCCCAATGCTACTCACATGCATGCTGAAGAAGAATGCAAAATGCACCTAAAGAGGTAAAGTGCAGCATATGTGTATTTATTCACTGTTAATTGTTTCTTGTTAGTTTCACAGAGTTTGACACAAAC